AAAAGTACCAAATGGTTTTGCAAAGACATACTATACCCTATAAGGTCAACCTGGTGCAAAAATTAGTTAATAGTATTAAAATCGATATTAAAGAATTCTCATCTGTCTCATAATACAGGGCCATCTACTCATAGAAAATTATTGGTAAAATGTGTAGAAATGACGTTTTTAAGTTTAATTATGACAAAAATGGCCAAATTTTGCGAATTATATGGTCAACACAGGTGAGATGAAAAAAACTTCAACCAACTTCAGACTGCTGTCATTTATAAGCCACTCGTCCAACAACTGTTAAAATTATTCCAGTGACCAGAAAGTATTCGTAATGGAATTCAAGCGTGATAGTGTAATTTCTTTATATTTGGCTGGAAACCACAAGGGCTATCATTAGAGCACTCCAGTATTAAAATGTGAATAAAATATTTTGTGTATATTCTGGAGGGTGTACTAAAGCCTTGGGCACGCAAACATTTTGGCCGCAGACCTTGAACATTCCAACGGACTCAGCACCATCGCACTCATCACGATGAGTCCTCGCTTCATTTCCAGCGCATAATGGTCTCCAAAATCTCCGGATACCAATCCGTTGGACTATTGTGCTTGGAGTATTTTCGAAGTCAAGGTTGGCACTAAAAAATATCAAAGTGTCGATCACCTCAAGCAAGCGCTTAGCCGGGGATGGGCCAAATACCGCAGAGAATTATTCGGACAGCGAATGACGGTTTCATTGGCCGTTTGAAGTCCATAATTCGTGCCAATGGTGACCGACAAATCTAAACTTATTCTAAAATTTGATACCATTTCCGACAATTTTGATTTCATTCAATAAAATTGAAGAAAAATTAAAAATTATGGCGTTGACTTTGTTGCAATTATTTTATCTCACCCTGTATATATATTAAATAATGCTTGATTGTCTCAGGGTCCATACCGGCCCCATTTCACTCATAGAAATTTAGAGAGAGTGGAAAGAAAATCGTTGGTAAAATGAGTAGAAATTGCGTTTTAAAGTAAATTTAAAGTTTTTAAAATTATGACAGAATAATAACAGTGAACACCGAATATCTTTCATACATAGCACCAATTTTACCAATTAAAAATTTAATAGGTCCTACAAATACCAATTATTTGGGAATATCGGTCTATGGGAGGCCACTCCAATTGGAAAAGACATTGAACCGCCACTTCAAAACACAGACACCTATGGTCTCTTTTATATGGCGTTCATGTCAAAATGAGAACAGATGTTAAAAGGTTTTTCCTTAATAACAGTGAATTCAATTAAAAATGGGATAGAAACCTTCCAAATACCGAATATCTGGAGCTAAATTGGGGGCTATGCCAAATAATGGAGCTAAACTAAACTTTTTTACATGTCCTTTTCTATATCCTGTTAGAAAATGCGTCTATAACTTTCAAAATAATTAAAATCCAAATTTTACGATATATTAGAACTTATTCTGTATTGTAGCTTAATATTGAATATTCATGCCAAAAAGCTCCTTGGGAGTACTTAATGTACCTTGATTTTACTTAAGATACTTAATGTATCTTAATTCTTTGAATTGAATGGGTTTAGCTAATTCGACTCACAAGTCTTTAAGGCTTAGTTAAGAAATTTAAAAATAAATTACATTTACTTCACGGGTTCTCAGACGAAAATTTCGAAGTGTTACAAAGAAATTGTCAAATTTAACATGCCCCAGCTTATAGGGAAACTATAAAATGAAGAAATGTTAAGCATCTCAGCAAAATTCAATTTACAAAGAAAAACACGTGTATACAAATAATCCGCAACAACCGGACAATAAAGGCTGAATTGAAACGGAATAAAGAACCAAATATTTTGATATGGAACAATTTCATAGATATGACAATTTTTGTTTAAATTTATAAAAATGATTCATTACCCTAGAGTAGTACTTAATTCCCCCAAAGACATCAGACAATCACCTACATACCAACTGCGTATTAGCCAAACGAAATGGGCGTTGAATACCACAAGAAGAAAAAACAACACACTTACCAATGATAACACCATTCGCTGAACGATAATAACTTTGTGTTATTGTGCGAAACCGTTCCTGACCAGCCGTATCCCAAATTTGCAACTAAAAGAAGAATGTTGTTTTCCTAAATAAATTCCAATTTGATATATTCTTCATATGACTTACCTTAACTAGTTTACCTTCTAAACTAATGGTTTCATTGAAAAATCCACACCGATTGTATTTCCCTGACGTTCCATAAAATTACCAGTCTTAAAACGTTCAACTATGCAAGTTTTTCCAGTTCCAGCATCACCGATTAGCACAACTTTGAATAGAAAATCAAACTTTCTTCACTGGGCAGAGCCATTAGTGTTTGAGGATTTCTGGCTGTCATGTTGATGATTTGCTGCCACTCGAAGAATGTTTGTGTTCTAGGGGACGGAGAATAGTTCGCAACGGCAAAGTGTGATGTCACTTATGTGGATTCACAAACGGTAACAACAATCAATCAACTGTAAAATGTGGGTGTTCTTACACCTTTCCATTCACTAGATTTCTTTTCTTTGGAATTCTTTAGACACTGTAGTAAGAATTCATGAAAGGAATGTGCCCGAACAGATTAACCCTGGATAGGAGTTTTGTTTTGGTGAATAATTGACTGACGTATTTCTTTTGTGTCTAGTTGTTCTTTGGCTGCCGGAGATTTCCCTAAAATACCACTCTTTATTTTATTTCTATAGTACGCAATTAACTAGAGCGACAATATTATATTCCTTCAGTTCAAGAACAAGTTGTTTTTTTTATTGAATAACAAATTAAAGAACCTTACTAATTACCAACACAATAGAACCCGATGATTGTTATCAATCGATACTACCTTTTTAAATAAAGAATCGATAGTGGCAATTGGAAGCTTTATTTATCGATAACGCAAGCAATTGCTTTGTTCAGACTTAAAATAAGTCCTCAGTTACACTATGCGAGTTTACTTGCGTCAATTTTTTCTCTCTCTTTCTCTTTTGAACATACCTTCTGCATTTATACAAGACAATTGATTTACAGAAATTTTTATTGCTTTTGCTATCATTTTTCCTTGAAAAGAAGGTATATGACGTTTGCCATTCCGTTGTAACATTCCTAAATATTTGTCGTAGACCCCACAAAGTATATATATTCATGGTCAGCATCAAATTCTAAGTATATTTAACGATAATATACTTAATGGATTTTTGAAAAGTTTAACAGCATGTAGTGTTTAAAAAGTTTAACAATATGTAGCATGTAGTTTAAAATGGGACAGATACTTCCACTTCTTCTTCGGAAGAGAAAAAAAGCGAACTAAGTTAACCTAAACGCCTTTGTTCCTTTATTGTTTTTTTACAAATCTAAAACTCATTTGTCTTTTATGAATAAGCCAGTCGATGACTTATACCAGAACACTTCCTCTTATGTATATATAAAGGTGACAATACATAAAACGCTTTTTTGACTGACTTCAGTTATCGACAGGCTTCTTCGTATAGGAACAAAGAAGTTTTAGGCTGATTAAGTTCGATTTTGGCCCAAATATTCTTTGTTTTTTTCGAAGAATCCAGCCAATGACTTAAAGCTGGGAATACATAAAGCGCTTATTTGGCTGGCTTAAGTCATCGGCTGGCTTCTTCGGAAATGAACAAAGGAGCCTAGGGTCAAAATCGAACTAAGTCAACCTAAAACTCCTTTGTTCCACTACGAAGAAGCCAGCCAGATAAGCGCTTTATGTATTTTCACCTTAAGCCACTCAAAAAATTAAATTTTATTCTTATGACAAGGTTGTGTACTTCAGATAGATCGGCTGGCTTCTTCGGAAATGAACAAAGGAGCCTAGGGTCAAAATCGAACTAAGTCAACCTTTTTTTATTCATATTCTCACCCACTAAGTGAGGACATCTGTATATATTTGATTTATTTCGGTCACATATGGCGCCATTTTCACTAGTTTCAATTTGAAATGTGTGCCGTGACTATCATTCACATTACACTTGGCATATAACAATTGTAATGCGATTGCGTAATTGTCAATCAAAATTTTCATGTACTTTGATTATTTTCTTGGAACGCAAGAAGTACTTACAGTTGAAATGTATGGGAAAATAGTTTTGACTTTGATGTGAATGGTTTTCCTCTTTTTTTCCTTATCGCCGATTCCAAATCTTAATGACATTTTGATGTCAATAATAAAATGTGTGTTAAACACAAATCGTTTTATGCAATTCGTTAGCAGAAAAACTATAATCTAATGCCAAATCAGGTAAAAATCAAATTAAACCAAAACGAGACAATTTTTCTCTGATTTACGCCTACAGTTGGACGATTGAAAAGCGGCGTGTGTGCATGCATGGGTATGTATATGATAGTGTCAGATATTCGATAAATGAAAAGGCAGTTTAAAAGAAAGCGCCAGTGCTTTGTGGCGCTATTGGAAAATGTGCCTTGTCTACATTGAAAATTTGATTTGACTAACTTCGTTGGCGATTTGGTATATTATCGAATATTATTGACAATCACGTATTTGGCATTACATGCGCTCGTGTATGGATACGCATATGACCAAAATGCGAGCTGTAGTGTCTTGCTGATATATGGCTACGTATGTGTGTGCACCACGTACTTTGATATCTATTTACAATATTTTGATAGGAGTTGCACTTCAACCAAGCCCTATTTTTATTTTAGCAATAATTATGTAATTTATATCACTTCACACAGGTGACTCTATTAAAATTCCAAATTCGGAATATGCTGTTAAATTTGTCAAATTCCACAAGAACCGTGTGTTTGAATGCAGGAGGTGTGTACAAATATTAAAATTACGCATGAGTTTCCGGTTTTCTTTAAATAGTTGAAAATACTTGAAATATGCAGCAGTTTATTGGAAATTTGGAAATGTTTAAAGATACTTGATGGGCCCTAATTAAAAAGCCAAAATACAAGAGCTTTTTATACCACCCACCATTCTATGGAGAGTATATTAGCTTTGTCATTCCATTTGTAACTAGTCAAAATATTCATAATGGACCCTACAAAGTATATATATTCTGAATCAGCGTAAAGCTCTAAGACAATTAAGCGATGTCCGTTTGTCTGTTGCAATCACGCTATCTTTCGAATGAATTGAGACAGAAGGCTAAAATTTTTGCCAGTAGGCAGGTTAAGTTCGTATAGCCTCCATATAACGGTACCTCCCGATATTCCGTATTTTTATGATATTAGCGACACCACTCACCTTAATTGTTCCAAATTTCGTATTTAAATATTGTAATGGGTACTATAGCCCATGGTTAAAAATTTCGTATGCAGGTCTACGTCTTCGTATAGCCTCCATATAATGGTACCTCTTTTCATTCGGTATTTTGACGATATTATTCGCTGGGTACTACAGCCTGTGACAAAATATTACTTATGCAGCTTCATGTCTTCGTATGGCCCCCGTATGAAGGTCATAATTTAAACGGATTTTTTTGAAATTTGTTGAAATGTTTCAAGTTCATTCCAAATGGTTGAGGGTATTAAAAGTTCAGCCCGGCCGAACTGAGTTGGTTTTTTTAGGGTGAGAATACATAAAGCGCTTATCTGGCTGGCTTAAGTCATCGGCTGGCTTCTTCGGAAATGAACAAAGGAGCCTAGGACCAAAATCGAACTAAATAAACCTAAAACTCCTTTGTTCATGTACGAAGAAGCCTTAGGCGCTAATCTGGTTGGCTTCTTCGGAAATGAACAAAGGAGCCTAGGACCAAATCGAACTAAATAAACCTAAAACTCCTTTGTTCATCTACAAAGAAGCCAGCCGATGACTTAAGCCAGCCAAATAAGCGTTTTATGTATTCCCAGCTTTACTTGTTTTGAATTAGGCATCGGCATTATTTGCCGAATTTGACCTAGGTCACCCCAAATTTCTTTGTTCTTTTACGTTAAATGCCAGCCGACGACTAATACAAGAAACAATCCTCCTAAGTAATGAATCCCTAAGACGGTCAAATGGTTTTCTGTGGATAGTATATCTTCTAGAGATGTCATAGAGGGTAAGAGTTAGGACGGAAATACATAAAACTGCGTATCCTTCTAGATACTGCTTGAGTACAGAATACATTAAATGGTTTTTTAACTGGCTTATTTGTAAAAGAACGAAGGAGCGTAGGGTGGAAAAGTATAAATTATGGGCCGAAATTGAACTAAGGCTGGAAATACATAAAGCGCATATTTGGCTGGCTTAAGTCATCGGCTGGCTTCTTCGTAGATGAACAAAGGAGTTTTAGGTTGACCTAGTTCGATTTTGGCTAAAACTCCTTTGTTCCTCTGCGAAGAAGCCAGCCGATGACTTAAGCCAGTCAAATAAGCGCTTTATGTATTCCCAGCTTAAGTCAACTAAACTCCTTTACGAGGAAGCCAACCGATGACTTCAAGGTAAGAATACATAAAACGCTTCTTTGACTGGCTTAAGTCATCGGCTGGCTTTTTCGTAGAGGAACAAAGGAGTTTTATGTTGACTTAGTTCGAAATTTTGGACCTTTGTTCTTTTCCGAAGAAGACAGCCGACGGCTTAAGCCAGCCAAAAAAGTGTTTTATCCTTTAGCCAATCAAAAAAGCCTTTTATGTACTCTCATCTTAAGCCTTGCATATTCCTGGAGATCTTGGAGCTTGGATACTTATTAAAGTATCTTGCAGATGTAGTCAGACTGTCCTTGTAGATCTAGCTTGAGTGCGTATTAAGGTACCTCGCAGACGTAGTCATGCATATCCTTATAGATACTGTTTGAGTACTTATTAAGGTGCTTCGCAGATGTAGTCTGTCTAACCTTGTTGGTGTATTTTGAGTACGTATCCTTTCATATCCTTGTGAATCCTACTTGAGTACATATCCCTTGTAAATAAGGCTTGAGTACTTAATTAATTATGATCTCTAGCTATGCTTGTAGATTTTTCTTGAGTAATTATTAAAGTCTGTTGCAGTTGTAGCTCTGCACATCCATATAGATCTAGCTTGAGTACATATTAAGGTTTCTCGCAACTGTAGCTTCGCATATCCTTGTCTATTTTTTTGAATACTTATTGAGATTTCTTGTAGAGGTAGCTTGGCATATCCTTGTAGGCATATCCTGTAGATCATATATTGCATAGCCTTTGAGTCCTGTAGACGTCGCCTTGCACTTCCTCGTAGGTTAGTACTTATTAATGTCTCTCGCATAAAAATCCATCCGGTAGTCTTACATGAACTATGCCCAGACTTCACGACCGTAGTACTTAGCCAGGTATCTGGAATACCAACCATCCTGCACATGTACTTATCCAGGTCTCGAGTCCAAAAACATTGCTAATCCCGAACCGAAAACTGCTGGAATGTCCATCTCACATCAACAATAGAAGGTACATCAAACGAAAACAACTGTCTTTCTCTTCGAGCCATTGAAGCTACTCCAGCCTAATGAGGGAAAGCTGTCGTTACACTTATAGATGCAAAAGTTTCGGCTAAAATTTTGACAAAATTGTTCTATTTGTAGGACTTAAGCTTAAGGTCCATTTCCAATGGACCCTCTATGTAACTTCTGTTCTTTTATTTATAGAGAATCATCCACCTTTTACAGGTCTACTAAGTGAGAATTTATTCGCAGATTTATGTAGACATTACACTTTTCAGGACTAATACAGAAATATTAACATCAACAGTTTTCGGAAGATACCATGACTTCCGCATATCTTCTATAGAAGTAGACAATCCCTAGCAGATGTTATTATTGTATAAAGTACTATCCATAATCTATAGAAAAATATATCTTTGCAATGAGATTTCCTTCGATCAATAGAAGCTCTTAATCACGCAATGACCTGAGAAGATCTTATCAAAGGTTAAAGACCGCCCATAACCTTTTACAACTAGAAGACTTTCTGTTGACCATATTTGAATAGAAGCCCTCCATTGGTATTCTCTATAAATAGCTCTTGACGGGTCTTCTTATATATAGAAGAATCTCCCGATGACTTTCATAAACATACGATTTTTTCTTTTCAAACTACGACAGCTTTTCCATCGATAATGTCTAATTTCTGTCAATTTGCTAGGTATGTGAAATTCATCATCCCTTGGCTTAATATCTCTCTTTTCACCGACAAAGCGACAGGCCGTACATGGTGTGGTATGAGCAATAAGAAATGTGTCTTGGCAATGTATTTCTTAAGCATATTAAGATCATACAGCTCTAAACATCAATCAAACACAATTGTTGGCTCGCTGTAATGGACAAACGCAAATATATCTGAGCGTATGTCGGTAACAAACATTGCGAGAAGAACATTGATTTCCGTCAACAAAAGAAACTCAAACAACAACAAACAAACACATGTAAACTTGCAAAAATGTATGACAACTAACAACCCCACCAACCTCTTCCATCCATGCAATGACCATTGTTTTCATAGATTTTTCAAGGAAATCTCATTAGGTGGCTATCATCAGGCAATGTCAACGCTACCGCCACTTAGTACGGTTCAGTCATCTAAGCCAATCTTGGCGGCTCAGCCCAAACAATTCGCAAGCCAGCCAAAGCTAAGCAAAAACATACGTCCAATATCACCAACACAACAAAGCTCATCGTTGCGCCATAAAACTTGGCCAATTGAAGAAGGCTCCCCAAAACCATAAACGAAAAAAAACTCACCATTCCACTTAATAACATTACACGCTGCACTGCAACGTATCGTCAGTTGAGTTTAATACGTTCAGAGGCATGGTTGTGTTGCTGGTTATCGGTTCTGTTCATTGCATTTCCTCGTAAAAAAACAAAAACAAATCACAATTCGCAAAATATAGACGAACTATTTGGGGATATCTGGTTTTTATTTTGGTAATAAAAATGAAAACAAAAACAACAATCACAACGAATTTTTCAAATCATGTGTGTGTGTTGTAAGAGTTTAGAAGAGAAGAAGAAGTAAAAAGGATAAACAAACGGGCTCCCATCAAAAAATAACAAAAAAAAAAAAAAGAAAAAGAAAATTCTATGAAAGAAGTAACGTCGTGTACTCGAATTAGAAGAAAAGTGAAATTGAATGAAATATTGCCGTTTTCCTTGATTTTGAGAAAGTTTTTGTTTTCATCCAACGAATAAAAGGAATATTCAAATTATAACGGTTTTATAAAGTGTTTTTACCATAAATAGTAGTGAAAAATTGTCCTACTTTTGTTTTGATTGCTTGTTCTAGAAAGAAGGATATTAAACATACGTGTTTTATGAGTATGTAAGTGTTACATATAAGTGTTGCTGTTATGTATTTGAACATTGTGTTTGTGTCTTAAGTCTTTTGTTTGTTGTCTCAAAGAGGGCTGTTTGATTAACGGATCTAAATTTTTATTATTGCCTTGTGCAAAATTGCAAAGAAGTAAAGAAATTTTGTTGATGGCAAAAAATTCGTTAACAATTTTGTAGTGAAAAACCAAATATTGTGAAGCTTTATATTCCTTAATGGGTTAATGTATAGTATAATTTCGGCTGGGTTTTTATGTAAATCTACAAAGGAATTAACGTTGATCTAGTTCAAATTCAGTTCATTCTTCCTCTACGTAAATATATAAAGAATATTTTGCCACATTCATAAATTGACAGTTCCATTTTAATATTTGTCATGTATTTGATAAATACCCGCAAGTGTTAGGGCGATTGGGTCAATACGTTTTTATTATTTATTGTACAATTTTTGTGAGACTACTTTTTAACCCCTTTTTTACGTTGGGAACAGTGTATAGGAGATTCTAAAAAAGTGGACAAAATATATATAGGGTGAGATAAAAAAACTGCAACAAAGTTAAGCGCCATAATTTTTACATTTTTTTTTTAATTTTATTGAATGAAAGCAAAAAATGTCGGAAATAGCATCACATTTTAGAATAAGTTTAGATTTGTTCGAACTGGTCACCTTTGGCGCGAATTATGGCCTCCAAACGGCCAATGAAACCGTCACACGCTGCCCGAATGTTGCTCTGCTGTATTTTGGCCCATTCCCGGCAACGCGCTTGCTTGAGGTGATCGACACTTTTGTATTTTTTAGTGCCAACCTTGTTTTCGCAAATACTCCAGACACAATAGTCCAACGGATTGGTATCCGCAGATTTTGGTGGACATTTTGCGCTGGAAATGAAGCGAGGAACCTCATTTTGTATCCATTCTTGGGTGGCACGTGCTGAGTCCTGTTTGAATGTGCAAGGTCTGCGAGCAAAATGTTTGCGTGCCCATGGCTTTAATACACCCTCCCTCCAGACACAATAGTCCAACGGATTGGTATCCGCAGATTTTGTTGTAGATTGTGCGCTGGAAATGAAGCGAGGAACCTCATTTTGTAACCATTCTTGGGTGGCGCGTGCTGTCCTGTTGGAATGTGCAAGGTCTGCGACCAAAATGTTTGCATGTCCATGGCTTCAATACATCCTCCCGAATATTTTCGCGATAATATTCGACATTTATTCTGATGCCACGTTCGATTAATACAAGCGGAGAGCGACCATCGGCTGTTATGGCGGCCCACACCATCACCATGGCCGGCGCTTGATTTCTTGTGGCCAACCGAAGGTGCACATTTTCTGCTGACCTCTTTGGCAAGTAAGCACGATCATTTTGTTTGTTAACAAACAGCTGGACAACGAATGTTTTCTCATCGGAGAAACTCAAATCCAGCAGTTCATCACTTTCGGTTTTCCAGCCAAAAAAACGTTTTATGTATTCTCACCTGAAGTCATTGGCTGGCTTCTTCGTAAAAGAACAAAGGATTTTAAGGTTGTCTTAGTTAAATTTCGGCCCATAATTTATACTTTCTCACCCTACACTTCTTTGTTCTTTTACGAAGAAGCCAGTCGAAGGCTTAAGTTAGTAAAAATTTTGTTCTACTTTTTCTAACTTTTATAGTTCAAAATCCGAATTTGTTTTAAATTTTTTTTTATAATTTTGAGCCATTTGAAAAGTTTATGTAGTCCATTTTCAGATTTGGGCCGATCCAAATTACCTTTCATGTATATCTCGCTGTGGTTTGTGTGGTATGTTAAATTAAGTATGTCTAGCTTGTGTTTGGTGAGTGACTAAATCTGGATCACAACATTATACGTATGTTATGAAAAAAGGTCATTATGGGTTAGAATTTTGTCTCGTAATATAAAGTTCAAGTTTAACGTGCATTGACCTTTCAAAGTAAATCACTTTGTTAGTTATGCCAGATGTGTGTTAATATTAAGACAAACTATGTCAATGATAGATTACGATAAATATTAACGAAAGATTTAACATTTTTTTCTGATATTTGAATAATTTAGAGGTTTTGAACTGTTTTGTTTTTTTAGGATATATACATAGCATCACTTTTTTCAAACCCCAAAAGTAGACAAAGACTAATGGGAAATAAATTTGGCATTGCATTTTTATAGAATTTTTATTAACATCAATGATTATTTCTCTAGTAATTAAATTTATTCTCAAAATGTTCACTTCAGATGATCCTTTATTATCTCCACCTCACCCTTTTCTTTAACTATTTAAAATATATAGAACATAGTTGACAGCCACATAATAAATGTCCATGACAAAGAACCATCCCATGTGAATGTATAAGTCACAAATATAAGAAAACAAACGTTCAGCTCTTTTTCGATTAAAAGAGAGAGAGAGAGAACAACAAGAAATGGGTCATTTCAATGAAAGAGAAAAGAAAATCAAATGTAAACAAACAAATCAATCCTTGCAAATGAAAGACTTGTATTACTCAGCCAGTCAAACACACATTGAGACTCAGTCTCTCTGCCAGAGGTTAAATGATATTTGCGGTTTCTCAATTGTAATTTTCACAAAGACACAATAAATTAAGTGACAACATTTTGCATTTACATTAATGCCATTCAACACCTAATCAATTTGTTTAGAAAATTAAAGAAATATTGTTGTCGTGATATTTTCGATTGTTGTTGTTGTTCAAATATTTATGGGTGGAAAGTGATGAAATCAAGAAAATTCCTTAATAAGCCCCTCCTTCAGTGCTTCTTTTTGTTTGGACGATTAGATGGAACAAATTTAACCGGCCGTAACTGGTAATACTCGTGACTATAGGAGTTGTTTGTTTGCCTGAACAAATTCTCTTGAGCTTTTCCAATGCCACACTACGTGTATAGCCTCTGTGGACTACTGGTTATTTTGCCCGTTTCATGCATAACGAATGGTATTTATGGTGGTGGTGCTGATGGAGGTGATTAGAGGAAGCGTTTTGTGCCTGCGCTCACTTTGGAGTTGGCCAAGTTTTGAAGACATTGAAAATTGTTTGTAGACTTAAAACAGGACGAGTTTTTGTTCACATGTTTGACATCATTTCTGTTGTTGCATCACCACACCAACAACGACCACTGTAGTCTGTGATGAACTAAACAATAACAGAATGAACTACATTTGCGACTGCGCTAGGAAGAGTATTTGTGTACGATTTGTTTGGACAATGCACCATAAAGTGTTTGCATTGGAAAAGCATATGAAAGTGCGTAGTGATCTACTAAAAGTGAGTGGTACATAGGCTCATCACTATACTGTGGTGATAGAGTGGTGCTTTTGAAAACTTGTTACCATTTTGGGCATGTTTGGTATATGAGGATGTTGTGGAATATTATGAAAAATAGCATCAGAGGGTATATTGAAACCTCAGCCTAATATCTAAACATGATTGATGGCACTTAATGGGTCAAAACTGGCCCTCACTTTTGTGTATAGTGGGTGGAATCAGTAGCAATTAGTTGCCTTAAAATGGAGAATTACTTACATACATACAAAAATGGACCATTTTCCTATAATTCCAATACAAAAGTCTAAAATTTTGTTGAATTTTATGGGGAATAACTAAGATACGATGAATTCGGTAATAAATAATTAATGCAACATTAGCCCTCAACCATTACTATTAAAAAAACATTTTAATATTAAAAATTTTCTCTAAGTTCTTTAATAACTTTTAAATTATTTTTTTAGTATCTAAAATCGTAGAAAAATTTAAAATCAAAAGTATGTTTCGGAACTCAAAACTTGGTAAAAAGATCAAAACATTTGTTTCGCATGTGTTACAAAGTATTAAAAATATTTTGAAAAATATTCGATATTTTACAGATTGTTGGCACATTTTTTCAACCTCAATAATCCCTGTTCCACCCTAACATACATTCATTCAACTTTATTGCCATTTGAGTGCGTGTGGACATTTTTTTTGCAAAATTTGCAAATGAATATGGCTAGTAGACCAGTTCTGTTCATATTTGTCAGTTGTAGTTGTTTGAAAAAGGAGTCTGCAAAAAACGCACATGTCCAGCTACCCCAAAGGGGCAAGAAAATATTTTTTTCCAGTACTGAGTGAAATTTCAAGAATTTCTATTTCACAGTCATAGAAAGCGTAAATATGTTTTTCTTTTTCATAGACTTTCACTAGAACCAGTAAAATGAGAAGCTGCTTGACAGTATTTCTTGTGAGCAATTAATCAATTTGTATTGATTTCCAAATGGAATTTGTGGTAGTTGCTAGTAGTAAAAAAAAAACGATTAAAAGATATTTCTAATTTACGTTTCGAAATACGGATTTTTGTAATACCCTTTTCAACGGTTTTAGCCACAGGGTGATTCCGATTGGAGCATGTAAAGGTGAGGGTACATAAACAGCATGGCATCATGACTAAGCAAATTATAAGGAGAACGACGACAGGATTCGAGTGTGGCTCTGGCATCACTTTATGATATGTCACAAAATATGCCATGTGAAGACTTCAAGCTTATGCTTATGTTCCCTAACCTTAAGAGCTGTTATTTATTCGATTTATATTTTAGATTTTTTAAGTATTGTTTTGCCAATATCCGAAGGCTGGAGCATACAATTTAAGAAAACATTATTTCCCAAAGCCGGTGTTGGGGGAGTAAATTTCAAGCCCCGGCCGAAGGCCATCTACTCAAAAAAGCAAACAATTTAGAAAAACTGAAGGGAATATACTGGACATAATCGGCTCGTACGAGTTCAAAAAACCATATCTCTGGATCCAAGAATGATAATAACACATATTGTAGCATTTCGGAAAGATTATAGTATCAACTATAATTTGGAATATTTTTTGTGCACTCCCGAAACGGGGCCTTTTCCGACTTTTGTAGAATTTTTTAAAAAAGTCAGGTCCAAAAAATCAATAATTTAACATCATGACCACTTGTTGGATAGGTATTATTATTCATTAGCTTATTGAT